CGGGGCCCATACTCCTGGGACACACTAGCTCTCAGGCTCCTCTCACTGTGAGAACACAGCTGTGGGGAAACCATAAGATCCAAGTTCAGCTCAAGTTTAAGTCTCCTCGATGAGCCTCAGTTTCCTTACCAATAAGACAAGGTCTGCCCTGCATGCCACCTTGGGGACTGAGAGGCCTAACTGTGGCAAGGCATATTAAAGAGCCTAACATGGTGCTTGACTTACAGTGAAAGCTCAGAAATTATGGCTTAGACATAACATCCACTGACATGGAGTAGATTCTGACTACAGCAGCCTTATGCAAGGTTTCAGAAGACAGCCTCAACTTTCTCCCATGGAACAGCTGGTGAGTCTGAACCGCTCACCTTGAAGTCAGCTGTCCAACACTGACCCAACAGCACTGGCAAGTTCAACGAGCCCAGACAGAGGTCTCTAGGTGCCCACTACGGGCAGCTCAGTCAAGGTGGAGCACAGGGCCAGGAGTCATGCAGGCTAAATCAGGACAGCAAGCCATGCTGCTGTCCTTTCTGGACATGGTCCTCTCCAGCTCAGAGGACAACCACATCCTCTGGCGCCTTGGTTTCACACAACAGCACTGGCATCTGGGGAGCTGCATCCTCACTTTACGGCTGAGGAGCGTGAGATGCCTGTCCACACTCGCATGGCCAGGGATGGCAGGCCAGGATGGGCACCTGAGGCTGGCCTGCCCAATCTAAGAGGATCATAATCCTGCAGCCTCCCAGGGAGGGGGCAGAGCCTCCCCACAACAAGAAGGTCAAGCCAGAGGACCTCCAGCCAGGGGACGATGGGTGAGCTCCCTCCCAGCTCTATGGGGTGACTGCTGAAGCATGTGAGGCTGGCCATTCCCTCCTCCCAAAGCCCTGCTCTCCCTCAGCAGCCATGGGAGCTCCCCCTCCCCCAGGAAGCAGTACCCTAGAAGCTGTAGATGAGGTTGACATGTCCCCATCTTACAGATGAGGACACTGTGATTCAGAGGTGCAAAAGCCATGCCAGGCTCCCCCAGAGATGCAGTGGCAGTGAGGGGGTTAGAATCCAGGCCTCTACCCATCATAGCAGTGGCAAAGCCTTCTGGGCTCCAATCCATCTGGGTTAAAGTGTTAACACACACACACACACACACACACACACATGCTACAGGGCCAGGTTGGGGAGACTGCCCCAAGCTGGTGGTGGTGGAGTGCTCACACACACACACACACACACACACACGCACACGCACGCACGCTGCAGGGCCAGGTTGGGGATGGAATGCTCACCAACATAGGTCTTCAGAAGTGGGTCGATGGGGTGGGGCTGGTCGGTGATGAGGAACTTCACGGCGGTGATGAAGGTACTCCGTGTGTGCGGGTGACCTGAAGGGCAAGAGCAGACACTTGGCAGGGCCAGGACTCACCCTGGTTCCCCTCCCCATCTCTGAGGAGGTCCTTGTGACCACTTATTTCCCTTGGCAACCTGAAGTCTACCCTAAGGCCCTGTGCTGCAGTTGAGAGGGGAAGGCTGCCGCTTCTGGGTAACGCCCTGCAGGATGTAGACGCAGGACCAATCACCTGAGATGAGGCCAACCCATAGCCAGACCTCCCTCAGGCCTGGGGCTGCACCACACTTGGAAGACACATGACCTCACTTTACCCTTTGGCTGGTCCTAAGACTCTAGTTCACAGACAAGGACACAGAGGCCCAGAAAGGTCACCCAGCAGATCCCAAACCCAGTGGCTGACTCTAAGCCTTGCATGCCCCCCACCTCCAAGACCTGCATTCTCCAAGCAGGCAAAAGTTCAGCTTCAGGTAGGCGGAGGGCCAGGAGGAGCCCCTGGGATTCAGGTCATTCCCACAGCCAGGGGACAGAGAGTGCTACTTTGGTTTCCATTTGGTTTCTTGGGAAGAGAAGTGGAAGAAAGGAAGAGAAAGAAATGTCCCTTAACAGCGCATGCGTGAGAAGGTTTGATTAACCTTCCCGTGGAGTCTCCTGCGGTTGCCCTGCTGGGTGTGTGTGAGAGAGGTACCCTGCATATTCTGTTTAGCACTGTAAGGATGCCCCATGCATCCCCTGTGATCCTCTCTTAGCAGAACAGGCAGCGCCTACCCTCACAGACACGGTGACTCTGGTAGCTGATTAGAGACCTCGCTTTGAACGAGTGACTGGAACATTCAGGGGACAACTGCCCACCATGCCCATGCCCTTACCTGCAGCCAGCTGCTTCCGGAACCGGGGCAGGAGGAAGGGAGGGTTGACCAGCACCAGCTTCCCGATGCACTCGGCCACCACGGCCCGGGGGCCCTCCTCAGGGTCCTCACAGCGCTGGGACAGCAGAGCCCAGATGTCCTCCATGTAGGGCTTCAGGCTGTTGGGCTGGGCGGCTCCCAGGGCCTCCCGGAGTGAGTGCAATAGCAGATACTGACGCTGAGGCTCTGCCTGGATCTGCCCCAGCAGGAAGGGCAGGAAGTCCGGCAGGTTGCCAGCGCCCACCCGGCCCAGTGCATAGGAGGCAGCGGCCCTCACGTCCTCGCTCGGAGACCCCAACGCTTCCAGGAGCACTGTCTTCAGTTCCCGCTGGGGCCCTGGCCCGGCTACCTGGCCCACCTCGGCCAGGGACAAGAAGGCCAGGACCTTGACCCCAGTGCTCGAGTTGGGCGACCTGGCGTCACACACCAAGCGGCCTGCGGTGCCTGCTGCCTCCTGGGGACAGGCAGCCGCCAGGGCGGCCACGCACCGGGCAAGCGCATGGAGGCCCTGTTTATGCAGGTCCGGCCCACCTTCCTCAGCCCGGTGGTACACAGGCGCCGTGAGCAGGTTGATGAGCTCATTGTAGCTCACACAGGGGGGCCGAGTCCCCACCAGCGTTTGCAGGAAGCCCTCAGCAGAGGTCAGCACGCTGGCAGGGAGCAGGGGTGAGCGGAGCAGCCGCAGCAGCTCCGAGAGTACAGGGCCACTGACCTCGGCCAGAGAAGCTGGCTGGACCTGGGTCACTGTAGCGAGGAAGTCCAACACCAGCTGGGCTACATGCATGTCACTCTCGCTGACCAGGCCCGGCAGCTCGGTCAGCACAGCCCGGACTTCGGGCAGCGGGAGGCTCAGGCCCTGGCTCTGGGCC